TTATTTTGGAGATTTCAATTCATCATTCACTGGCCCCGTTTTTGAGAAAGGAGGGCTGTGCAGGGCAGCGCATTATAGTGGGAGTATGTGCCAGAGCAGAGCCTTCTCCTCATAGTCTGGCATGAGTGACAGAAGGAGGAAAGGGCGGGGCTCTACAGTCCCCCACAGGGTATGCAGCCAATCATCATGACTGGGCATGAATGACAGGAGAAGAAGATAGGGCTCTGTAGCCCCTTCAAGGGCACGCACCCAGTCACAAGAACATCTCCCACTAGACCATTATCTTAATGTCGCCATCATGTCCCAACAGTCTGTACTAGGAACCAAACCTTTGGCACACGAGTTTCTGTGGGACAGTATACACTGTAGCACACATAGGTATTCACAAATACAGAGCCTTTACTATGAATAATATATTTTATATTAAAATACATAACATATAAAATACATACACATATGTGTGTGTGTGTGTGTGTCCTTTGTCCATAGCCCCTGGCTCTAGCCTTCACTGTTATATGAGTAGTGTAATGAGCAATTCTTTCCTAACAGTATTTAGCTTTTAGTACTTGTTTTCTGAAGGAACTTTACAATAGTCTCAGAGAGACAAAGGTGAAAAAGTGAGTCAAGACATGGCCAGAGAGCAAAATTTCTCTACCTTCTCCTCAATATATTTCATCTACTTCCCTTTTTCCTAAGGTAGGTCAATGAAACTTAAGTTTCTTTTCTGTAATACAGGTCCCAGTGTCTATAAACATATTTTAACTCCTTCAGGTTTGTCTCTTTTGAATGTGGCCATTAGGAAATTCTTTTACCTACTTGTATATGGTAGACCACACGGCTCTCATGTGAGAATGGGCTCACCTATACCTGCAAGGAAGCAAGGCTGCCCACAGAGGACAGGAGCAGCCCAAGCTGACCGGCCTCGTGGGATGTTTTAACTGCTCATCTCGCCCATATCTGTACATTTGTCCAGGTTTCAGACATGAGTTTTTGGAAATAAACCTCCATCTGTTGTACTGAACTCTCGGCAGCTTGTCCCAAGCTTAGACATATCTGGGCAGAGAAAACTGAGTGAAAGGATTGCCTCCATCAGATTGGCTTTCGAGCACATGCATGGAACACTTTTCTAATTGCTGATTAACACAGGAGAGCCCAACCCACTATGGGGGCTGCCATTCCTAGCTAGGTGGGCCTGGGCTGTATAAGAGAGATCACTGAGAAGCAAGCCAGTAAGTAACATTTCCCTATAGTTTCTTTCTCAAGTTTCTCTCATGAGTTCCTGCCTTGGCATCCCTCAATTATGGATTATGGCATGTAGGTCAAATAAACTCTTTCCTGTCTCAAGTTGATTTGATTCCCTGTTTTCCCACTGCAACAACAACAAACCTGGGTCTGGGTTAGGAGATCATCTGGACATATACACACTTGTAAGAAGACATATACACACTTCTAAGAAGGCCTATACACACTTCTAAGAAGACCTATACACACTTGTAAGAAGACATATACACACTTGTAAGAAGGCCTATACACACTTGTAAGAAGGCCTATACACACTTGTAAGAAGGCCTATACACACTTGTAAGAAGGCCTATACACACTTGTAAGAAGACATATACACACTTGTAAGAAGACCTATACACACTGGTAAGAAGGCCTATACACACTTGTAAGAAGGCCTATACACACTGGTAGGAAGCTAAGAAAGACTTACCTGGCTCCTGATTAGCAGGCCTCAGTTATCCTGATGCTCAAAAGCCAGAACCACAAGACTCATTTCTTCAAGGCCAGTCTAGATCTCCCCAGACTCTGTAGGCGTTTCAGTTTCTAGCCCAGCCAGGGCTGTCACTGCTGTGGAGAAGCCATCCCAGGAATGACTGTCACAGAGGATCTCGTGTTCTTCCTTTTGTTTACTCATGGAGCGCAGCATTTGGATGTCACTGCTTGGTTTGTTGAAGCCGAGGGAAGTGTGTGGTCACAGACAGAAAGGGCTATTCTATCAAAGCCAATAAAACATCAAAGGTATTGAACTGCTCCCCCACAAAGAGTACATCATAATACCCCATATCTGCAACTACTTCCTAACCTTTGATTCCTTTTCATAATGTAATTTCAAAAAATATGATAAAATTATTTCTCTTCTTCCATGTCAGACTTCCGGAGCAATATTTACATGTTAAGCTAGAAGTAAGTGCACCTGCACCCCCACACTTCCACACCCCCACACACTGTTACACCCACAAACACAAAGAAAAGGAAAACTGTACACAACTAGATTAGGAGAAAGAAAAAGAAAGAACCTTAATAAACATAGAAAAGATAATATATACAAATTATATAACCATACTCCTCTGTAGAAACACATTTGGACATCTAGAGAAAATGGTAATTTCCTAGAAAAATATTCTACCAATTAAAGATGAAATTCTGCATAGAATGATTCCACAGCAGGCCATGAAAAGAATTAAAAAAAATACACTCCCAATAACCAAGCACAAAAATCAGGTATGTCTGATTTGAAGTTGTTTAGTTCTAAATTTAGTGTTTAACAATTCAAGGTCGTGTTAAAGTGTGTGTAGGCCTCCTCAACTCCTTTATGGAGCCAGAGTGACTTTGACATTACCAAGTGCTGACAAAGAATGTGAAAGTAAGCCTGTAGATCATTTTATATTGTCACATATCATTTCCCCGTGTCCATTGCTAAACATCACTGGGTGAGTCCTATTGGCATTAAATTCAGAGTGATTGCATTTATATTCCAACAAACACATAATAGATGGGGCTATCGGACACTAACTGTTGGGATGCAAGAGTCTTTATAGCAGACCGCTCATCAGAACGCGCTTTGATGCAGCCTCATGAAGAAACAAAAAGCAAAAGGCAGAACGCAACACGACTTCAGCACGTCTCAGTGAAGAGCCGGGCCCCCTCGACGGTAGGCAACAGGTGGCGGAGGTTGTGCAAACTCGATCAGCTTAGGAGCCTTTGTTATTTCGGTTGTGCCGGCTCTGCTTCTCCACAGGTTTGCATCAGCTATTTAAAATAACGGTGGCTTGGGTGCTGGTCCTTTGGAACTGGAAAACAATGGAGGCCAGGACTGCAGGAGTACGCCCTGGAGACGCCTGAGAGGAGGCTGAAGGAGCTGAGCAGTGAATCGAAGAAGAGTGACTTTGGGTCACTGGGTGAGGGCTTAGTAAAACTCAAATAATCTGATACCCTTAAGCATACCCATAATTTGCTGGTACCTTCCTCCTCGCCTGAGTAACCTTTAGTCCTGGGATTCATTTCTTCCCTTTCCCCCTGTTCATCTGTCACCATTATTTTTCACTTGATGTCTGCTATTCATTTTTTCTACCCACGGAAGCCCAAGTTCTGCCTACCTCTCCAAGAACCTGCTCGAAAAGCCCAATTCTTCAATTTGGTAAGCATAGTTAAATCCTTGTTTCAACTGGGCATGGTGACACACAACCATGGTACAACCTCAGCACTCTGGGGAACAGGCCAGAGAATGGAAAGTTAGAAGTCAGTCTGGGCTATGTAGGGACCCTATGTCACAGACACACACACACACACACAATCTTTATTTTGCATTCCTTGGCTTCATTTCCTACAGTTCAGGGTTTCTAGCAACTGGCTTTGAGCCTTTCCCAGTTCCCGCTGCTTACTGCTCTCAAACCTTTCCTTCGGGAAAGTCCCAGAGTCCCAGAGTCCCAGCCCCAGCAGACCAAAAACCTCTGATTTCCTCATCCATCAGGTTAAAGAATTGTATTAGATAATTTGTTTGTTCAACTCAAATATTATACTTCTAAGCCTTCCCTGGTCCTTCTCATCTGAAACTGCTCTCCTCGCACACAGATCAATATTTATTTGTGCCTGTCAAGTCCTGCACCACCTGAGGCACCCAGTCACGTGAGCTTCCACTGGGTGTCAAGAGTTGTCAATGAGGCAAGCGTGGCCCCTACTCCCGAGAGCAACACTACCGGTATGTATACGGGGTCAGCCGCTCACTAGATAAGCTGCAAGGGCAGAAATCACTGGACATTCTCATCATGGCTTTGCACCAAGTAGATACAAGGAGAAGTTAGCCAACTGTAAGGGCAGACCTGGAGCCCTGCAAATTACCCATCCACCCCACAGCCCTTAGGTGGAGATCAGGAGCCCACGCCCTAAAAGGAGACTGCATGGTGCTTCCAGGAACACTACCTGCCTTGATGTGCCCCAGGAAGAGCGAGGCTCCTAAATCAAAAGGGCAAGTATGCATAAGATGGACTGGCCCGGGATGGTAAAGAGGAGTTCTTTTCCCTTCAGATAGAGGATTCGTGTTTGCTTGTTTTTCTTCTTTTGCTTAACTGAAGCCAGATGCTCTGCTAGGTTTGAGTCACACACAAAGCTTTGAAAGGTGCTGGGAAGCCATCATTTTGTTCTGTTCCCTAAAACTCTCAAAGCATGCTCAGATTAAACTGGCAGGAATGCAAACGTGACAAAAATGAAAAGGTCCTGCTGGAGGAACATTTAAAATGGCATTAAGGGTGGGATGGCCAGGTTCTGTGACAGACTGTCAACCTGTAACTTCTCACTAGTGATTCCTGGAATCAACCACCCGAGGCACATACATTTGTTTTACCGGGAGTGACATTCGCCCTGGAAACTCGACTTCTGTGTGCCCATTTGGCGTGTGAGGACACTCTGTTTGGGCACGGTGCTTTGTGGTTCTATTTTCCTCCTTTCTCTTACTTGTTTATCTATTTGTTTAAAAGATGTTAGACACACAGAAAACAGGGCCCTATGCAAGGCAAGTGCTCTACCACATCCTCGGCCCTGAGATTCCATTTTCCAAGCCCCAACTCATGGGTTCCGAGCTCTGCAGAGACTAGTTCTGTCAGCAAAGAAAATCGCAGTAGGGACTTAGCAGATCCCACAGCTTCAGAGAACAGCACAAACCCACCAGTTTCTTGGGAATACTAGGGTTGGAAGGAAGATATAAGAAGGCACACAGGCTGTTGCAATACACAAAAGTTTATTATTATTATTTTTTTTACTTTTTCTTCAGTTTTGGAGGCAAAATAAAATAGAACTGAACATCAATAAATTTTGTACAACAAAAGGAGCCTTTAATAGGGAACTGATAGTCCATGAACAGTTTCAGATCTCAGAGTGGTTTCCCTTTTTCAGAGACATGCTTTCCTGCAGTCCGTGAGAAGTTGGCACAAAGATCCGGTGGATGGCGAGGAGAGTGGAGGCTGGAGGCGCCCTCAGATCCGAGTCAGCTGATGCCACAAACTGGAGGGGAGGATGCTTTCCACTTTCTCCATCACAAAGTTCAAGGGGGCAAACAAAGTGCTGAGGAACTGCAGGGAGAGCGGAGAGACAGCCGTCAGGAGGGGCCCTGTCAGGACTAAGATCAACGCCTTCAGCACACCCCAGCGTCTTACCAGAGTTCATTCTGAAAGCCTCCCAAGGCTACAGCCCTCTTCGTGTTTACAGGAAGTGTTGGGAGAAAGTGGAAGATACATTCCAGCCCCACCCCCAGCGTGACAGATAAGAAGGAAGTGTCTGCGGACAGCCTCCCTCCCCCTCTGACAGCTGCCACAATTCCTAGGAAGCAGCAGTCTCCAGCGTGTGCCCCATCTATGAAGATGAGCATCACCCAAGAGGAAGATGGGTGGGTAGTGAGTGGGTACAGGAGCTAGACAATGGTGATAACTTGGGCCACTTGACTGTCTAACTGGCTGTATAACTTACCTTAAGTTAAACAGGCAATATAAAGAGTCAAGTCTACAATGTCAGTTTGCTTTGATTTCCTGATGGCTCCCAAATATGTGCACCACCTAGGCTCCTTTCTAAACAGCTTGCTTTGTGCCATGCAGCAGGGAGCGGAGGGCAGGTAGAAGCTGGAACACTGGGAAGCCCTGCCCTCCAGGAAAGGCTGTTGGATGGACTTTCTTACTCGGTTACTAAATACTTCTCTGCTTTTCACACACAGAGAGCAATAAAAATGTGTCTGTTAAGAAATATAATTTGTATTATCAGATACTAATCAATTTCAGATCTACTCTGATGATGTTCTTGTGAATAACTGATTCAGTTCACAAGCTCGTATTGTGGTAGAAGCTGGCAGAAGAGATGTCTATCCAGGGAGGAGATTGGTATTGAAAAGGACTCTTTGCCTTTTGCCTACTGAGAACCAAGGCCTTGTCTTGCTAAGGTTCAATACCTGGTTCTTTATTGCGGAGTCTTTTGCAATAATCCCTATCCATGGCACAATACTGACAATACTAACAGAAATTTTGCATTTAAGTTTAGTTTGGGAAGTGAATATAAACATGGAATGGGAATATGGCTCCGAGGGCAAACAAATTTAGTAGGCAGTTTAGACAGTAAACTTAAAAGCATTATCCTTAGTGGTCACATGTTCTATGGATTGTGAATCTTCAAAGTAAGAAGTATGGAAGGCAAGTGTCCCAAATTCAATGACCACAGAATGGGATGTGTGTGTGTGTGTGTGTGTGTGTGTGTGTGTGTGGTGTGCACATGTGTATGTATGTGTGCATGTGTTCACATGTCTGTATGTTTAATGAATATGGAACATAGTGAGGAGGCCAATACCACTTGCAATTGCATTATGAAAAAGAAGTGGGAAATGTTCTCTATTCTGCCTTTAAATCAATTAGATACATTTGCTTGGCAAGGCAATTAAGTGCTACATGAGGAAAGGAGACCCTAGGATAAAACTTCCCCTCCTGAAGGCTCAAATTTGAGGTGTAGAGGGAGCAAGGGCATTAGAATGTGCACAGAGCAAAGTAATACATATAGGCCATGCTAGTAATCAGGTCAGACACCCAGGGGTGTTGAAAGGAAGAGAAGTCAGGCTAGAGTAGAGGAAGAAGTGTTGAAAGACCAAGAAAAGCTCTATAAAGTGAGGCAATTTAAATAAACTCCAATAGACAGAAGGACTATCAAAAGGTGTGCTACTAACACTAAGGATGGAGACAGGAGCAAACTGGCAGTCAGGAGTCAGGAGTCAGAATACGAACGGAAAACCGTCAGGTGGTGACCAGTGCAGTTTTACTAGAGTCTAGGCAGAGCTCAGACTGGTTGGCAGTCTTGAGTGCCAGGACGAACATGCAGCTGAGACACACGCAGCAACAGGTGTGGTGATTCCCTGCGCAGCCGGTGTTAGAGTCTCAGTCATTTCTGATGACCTGAAAGCACCCTTTTGTGAGTATGCCAAAACACTCAGGAGAGAGAACCCTGCAGGATGGATTACCCATCCTTCCCAGATTAGAAATGGACTGTGTCCCATCACGTATGAGGCTGGAGGGCACGAGGAAACACTGGGCCCAGGAATTAAAATTGCCTTTGCAAAATTATATGGGTGCATGTGTATGCAGCATACACACTGAGGTATGCCATGCACAATGACAGATGTCCAGGGCTGCGAAGGGGACAGCATTTGCCTACTGTATCAATTTCATAAAGAGGTTCCAAGTGAGAAAACCATGGACAAATCAGAGATTCCAGCAGGGACTGGAAGGTACAGTTCAGTAAGGAAGGTGATACCACTGGTGGCCGTCACCAGGCAGCTTTAGGAAGACTGGAGTTGGAAAGGCTCCCTCTAGGCCAGAGCCTGGGAGGACAGGCATTCTCACAGTCTGTCCCCAGTACAATTCCACACCCTAAACTGCAGCATCAGGGTCTCCACCAGAGTGCACCGTGAAGTGCACACAGTCTGCCACAAAGTAGACTCACAATAGGGAGCAGTTGTATTCCTTTGCTTCTTTGTTTCTGGGGAGAGCTGGCCTGACTTAGAGAAAAAGCTTTGCTTTTAGGTCTATCATTGCCTCCTTTCCCTGCACTGCAAGCCAAAATACAATGCCTTCCTTGCTACAGTTTTATCTGCATGGAACTTCTCGCCGAGGTTCTATGAGGAAATGACACTCCAGTCCTCCCATGTTTGTAAGGACATACATACTCTCTCTCCCTCATGTCCTGAATGCGTGACTGAGAAAGGCCTCTTTTGAGTGCTTTCTGGTAATCTCACTTATTTACCTAAAGAACCCCAGCTGAGGTGGACCCCTCTCATACCACACCACCTTCCTTCTTAGCATCCTCCCCCCTCCCTCCTCCCTGCACACATCCAGAAAGAAGCTATGTAGACATGAGGCCTCTGGAGTGACTAAGCCCTTCCACTTACTAAGTCAGCGGCTTCGGTAACTCCATCAGGAGTTAGAAAAAGGCTGAAGGCACATGCCTCGGCCCTCTGGGTGCTGCGGGCACTCAGCTGTTCCTTCAGATGTGTGGAAAACAATCAATACCTTTGACCAGAAACCCAACTAATTCCTGACGAGAAGCAGCAGTTTCATTTCCAGACTAAGGGGGAAATTTATTGCCTGAGAAGTTAAATCTGAATGAGCAAAACCAGGCAACTTGGATCAACCCATCTATCTCAGGGTCCCAAACTTCTGTCCAGAGGGCAGAGAGACACGGTCAAATTTCTAACCCAAATGCCCCATAACTCAATTAGTGTCCACTGCTGAGAAAAAGCAACTGGGCCAATAAAAAGGAGAGAGGGGCACTTCAATGGCCCGGTCTTCCTTTCTCCAAGACACTGTTACTTAGAGGAAGGTCACAGCTTGCATCAAGCTGGGTTCGCAGGGGAAACCTCTTGCTTATCTGAATAGGTTCCAGTTGCCCTGTGGCAAGCCGACAATTGACATCCCACTGTGATCAATATCAGACTTCAAAGAGCCCAGGCCTATAAGAGAAGACGAGGCAGAAGTCAAAGGGTGCAGTCTCAGGGAAGGGGGGAGCACAGAGGAGGAAAGACAGGCCCTGAAGAGCAGAAGGTCAGAGTGCTGACCTTCCCACGTTCTGTGCAGAGCTGGGCCTGCAGTGATAGCTGACTTATATGAGCAGCCTTATCTTAAGAAGCAAACATTCTCGGAAGAGCTAGTCCTAAGTCATCGAGGTAGATTAGATTGCGGGCAACTAGTCGAGGCCTCTCTACTCGCGCCTCTCCAGTGACTCACTGTCTGAGTGTTGGGACTGGCTGTGTTAGTGAACAGACATGTCAGAGTTCCCACGCTGTGGAGCCTGGGGGGTGGCCTTGCAATCTCTATGCATCTACTAAAAGTCATCACACCCGGGCATTATCTCAGGACAGGACTGAAAAGGATCACTTTCTCAAGCTGCAAATGGCTGCAGACAGCCTCCAGGGCAGCTGCGATAACCCCCGGGGTTTGCCCAGAGGCTCTGTGAGAGGCCTGAAGGACAGAGGAGGTGCAGAGGAAAGGCCGCTGAGGACACACTGCTGGCCTTGCCTTCTTCCTGCCACCCACCTTCCTTTCTTCCTAAACCTCCTCAGACCTGGGAAAGGCTAGAACTCCATAAAGGATACAGTTTCGACCCTCTGGGCAGAGGTTTAAAAACACACTTGTTAAAACCGGGAGGAGTTGACCAAAGAACCACATCTTGATAGAGAGTAGGAACACTCTGAAGCCAAATCTACTTTGTTCAAGCGCTGATTCTAGGTGTAAGAGGAGGAGACTAGACAGTGCTGATTCCCCACCCCCGACTGTCTGTCTGAAGAGTTCGAGGCTGTTGTCTGACCTTTCTAGAGAATCTATTTGCTATCTGCTCTCCTCATCTTTCTGCCAGCTTGCTCTCAGGAGACCCGTTTCCATTCCGTTCAGTGCTGTGGTTCTCAGCCAGGACTGCACACCTGAATCCCCAGGGAGCATCTGAAAATTCAAACGCATATGAGCCACGGGGTCAAGCAGTCAGGAGGAAAGGTAGCTATCAGCAATCTGTAAGCTTCCTTGGTTGCTCCAAGGTCCAGGCACACTGAAAGCACTAATTCTGGAAAGCTGTCACCTGAGGAGCTATGACAGGGCATGACATAACTTCAAATGACTTCTCAAAGGTTTACCTTTCATGAGCTCCAACTCCCACCCTCAAAGGCTGGTGGGGTCATTGCTAAAAATACAGACTCCTGGTGTGAGCATCAGGATTCTGAACTTTGGTGGTATGGCCAGGGGCATTATTGGCACGCTGGCGGCTAAAATTCCCTGAGATCCCCACCCCCAGCTCTGCCTGCTAAATGTCCTCTATTAGCGTGATAATGCTCACTGGAACAATGAGGTGCTTTTGCACATGTTTTAAAAATGCTTAAGAGGGAAACAGAAAAGTGGGAACAGTACTTATCTCCTTCCAGAACTGCATCCCGACTCATGCCATAACTAAATTATACTCTAATCTGAAACTTTGGCAGCGACTTTTCCTCAGAGGCCGGCGATGGAGAAGAAGGGAACTGTGAACAGCACAGGGCCTGGGACCAAGGGCATCCAGGGCAGCAACTCGGGTAATGCTGACTTTAGAAAATATGTAAGAGACGTAAGAAAACTTAATTTCCCTGAAGAAAGGAGAAAGGAGTTTGAACTTCAAATGGGGCCTGGAGTAAAGAAGACCTGAGAACTTGCAAGAGAAAGTGATTTCTTGGGAGCGCTCCTAGAGTAGGAGCCGGCATACCCAGAAGACAGAAGCGCAGGAAAGAGGGGCAGGGAGCACAGTGTGGGGCTCGGAATGGCTGCTGGTGAACTGGGCATGACCGTATGCAGGGAAGCCCACGCGCTACAGCATCCATCATTCACCTAGGAACACTCCTGTCCCAGCAACAGGACACAGGGTCGGGAGAGAAGGGAAGGAGATCCCGGTGGCATCTGAGGTAAAATATGTAGCTTCCCTGCCCATTCACTTAACAGGCCATATGAGAACCTACGATGTGAAGCTTTGGAGACGCAGATGGGAGAAAGGTACAGAAAGGCCCTTGCCTTCAAAGACTGCACAGTCTAAAGGGCACAGACAATTCCTTACCAATCATATAGAATAATATGTGATAACATAGGCATTCATGGGAGGCTGTGGGATCGCGGAGACATCCTGTCAAGTTAGGAGAAATGAGTACAGAATTACGAGAGGTCTTTAGGAGACACGTGGAGTGGAGGCCATATGAGGCATTCCCTGCTTAACAAGCAGGGCATGGAAAGCCGCTGACGTATGCAGGCCTGGTCCATCTGAGCACTGTGAACACTTCACTGTGGCTGAAAAGTTGGTCTGTGTAAGAACTGTTAGGATGGAGGATAACAAGGCAAGCAAGGGCCTCTAGAAGACAAAAACGCTCTTTTAGTCAAGCAAAAGAAATGAGATTTAGAGCTCAAAATAACAGGGAACCAGTAGGTAAAAGCTGGGAAGTGGTGTGCTTATTGGAAACTCAGAAAACTCTTGTGTTAGTGTAAGAGACAGTGACAAGGATGAGCGAGGAGACCAGCTGAGAATTTACGCAGCTCAGGCAAGAACAGCAAGACCATAAGCTAAGGGGGAGGCTGTGAAGACGGGAGCATAGGACAGGGAAGGGAGGTTTACAATGTGGGCACTGAGGGGGTGGGGCATAATTTGGAAGTTGACCCAGACAGGGTACAAGGCAGGGAGGGGCCTGAGAGAACAGGGAGTTTGTGGCCCGAGCAGCCGACTCCAGACCTGGCAGGGCCGCTGTGGAGACAAGAAGTACCAACAAAGACCATCCCCGCCGACCCCATGCATCTTAACGCAGCCGGCAGGGAGGTGGCTGATGCTTTCCTCTCTAGTCTGTCTATTTGATACCCAGCTGTGGCAAAATCAGGATGCTCCCCTTCATGGTCCTGCAGAAATCCTCACTGTCTCCAGGGAAAGCGGGTCTTAGCAAGCAGGGCAGACGGCTTCCTACAGGGTTCCATCTACCACCCTCTCACAAGGCTCTTAGTGGATGTTCCTATTTCTGAGTGTCACGCTGGTACGCTTCCTCTACAAGCTTTCACACTTTCTCAAGTGCGCTACCCAAACAAACCAAGGGTGTGCATCCATTTAAAATAATCACAAAAATAATCTGTGGAAGCTCAGATCTCATCCTTCATGAGTGAAAGACACACTATCCAAAGATTAGAAGATGTCATTCATATACACAAGGCCAAATCCCATCCCTCCCATTTCTCATTGGTGAGGAGTCCCTAAATTATTTCATCCTTTGGGACCTGATGCACTTTCTGGAAGGTGCTAGGATTTCTTTGGGAAAGGAGGTGAAGCCTGCACTAACAGCCTGTGCTCTCGCTTGATCCTTCAGCCATGGATTGCTCTAATGATAATGACAACTAAATGACTCTCCAGGATTTCCACCACATCTGTACAGCAGCTCGTTCCCCTCAGGCCCTTCCTTTGGCTCTCCGGGTCCATCTATCCATTGCCCAAGGCCCCCTCCCAGGAAACACTCACAGCTTTTGCGAAGACGCCCATGAGTTCCGGGAACTGATGTGTCAGGAGGGCCAACATGGCTGTGAAGGAGCACAGTCCAGCCGTGAAGAGGATGAAGAAGGGGAGCTCCTTCTTGGGGTAAACTGAGACTTCATGGAAAGCTGGGGAGACCAAAGGGGAGCCATTAGGACAGAAGTGGAAGCATTTTAGGGACGCTGACGCCCCTTGGCTGTAGCACATTGGAAATGAAATGGGCAGGCCCCTCAACATTCTCCAGCTCCCATCTGCCCCTGCTGCCCTTGAGGCCTAGCTGCTCCTCCCAAGCCCACGTTCCACCTGCAGCACTTTAGTGAGAGACACAGCAGGGTTAGCTTGTGGGTGTCACACACTCATGAGCCACATCTATGTTTAATATACAGTGTTCCTATCCCAAAAGCAAATACAAAACAGCAAAACCCTGTCCAAATTACAAAATATACTTCCACAGGGAATTCCCAAATCAAGTGTGAGTGTGCACGCCTAGGTATATCTGTCCCGTTTTTATTTTACTGTATTTTAAATCATTATCATAAGCAATATTAGTTTATCTTATATTTTCTCTTGATAGTCTGAGGATGTCAATGGAGAATGCTGCCCAATAGACATTCAGTGAGGACCTCACATGTAGCCCTACAACCTTCAGGAGCAAGGGTCAAATTGCTAGGGTCATCCTCCACAACTGTAGGACACCCCTGATGATAAGTGTGCTCAAAACAATCATGTGGACTGAAGGCTTTTGGAGCATCTTTTACAGTGTTCAAACAGTAAACACTGGGTTTGGGTAAAACCAAAAGAGCTATGGTATCAAAACATAAACTATGTAAAGAACTAGTCTGACCCAATTTATCACAGGCCTGCTTGTGACTATGTGGTTGGTAGAGATGCTGGCCGGGGGAGTGGGGCCGTGTGCACAGAAGAGGGAAACCAGCTGTGTGAGACCTTGGCAGAAGGGACTGTGACTTGGCAGAAGGGAAAGTGTTGGGGTCACAGCACTGCTACCGGAACCACCAGCATCCCAGTGACCCATTCCCCCATCAAAATACAAATCTACAGATCCTTCATTGCCCATGAAGGTTATTACTCAGAGCCCTAACCAACAGGGCTGAAAACAAAGAGCAGACACTATCTATCAGAAGGCATGGAGCACGTGAAAGCAAGCCTCCCTGCACCCCCAGGAAGTCAGCCCGTTAAGGGACGAACCCAGGCAGAGTGCATTTAGGGCCTACTATGCAAGCAACCACACTTTTAACTCTCAGAGAATGAGTAGTGTCTACAGCAACTAAACCTCTCTCTATCTCACTCTCGAAATCCAGCCCTCTAAGAGGTTCTAGAGCGACGGATACTACACTTGAATCACGGTTCCCATTTCAATGCATCTGAGCCACACTTTTCTTTTTCATGATGTTTCTTTTTAAGAATGTGGTGTTAGTAGCTAAACTATAGCCATGAAAACTTAATTGGTTTCAACTAAAACATTTTAAAACACCACGCTTTTTAGAAAACTGCTTTCCTACCAGAAACCTGAAACTTCAATAAAGATCTCCCTGAAGGGGGCATCGAAAGGTGAATTATGGACCCACGGGGGGATTTCCGAAATCAAATTTATGTCATGTGATGCACCAGATGCCTCCCAGCTCTTTGAACACAAAGCACAGGCTGCGCTGGGGCGATTAGCATGGAAACAGGTGACGCACTCCCAGCGACCCGGTCTCCGGGCAACAGTCACTGTGTATCCGGTTGCTACCATTCACCATTGCCAGTAAGGCTGGCATCTGCCATTTTACTATGTATCAGCTCTCCAAAGCCATTCTAGGAAAATATTTCTATATTCTATAGCTATTAGATAGTGATGGAACTAGTGGTAGTAAAAGGAAAAAAAGGTTGAAAAAGGAGGGGGGGGGGGGGAGAGAAGCCGAAAGGGGCTGGTATCTGAGGGAGGAAAGTATTTCCCAAGTCAAGACCACATGAACAGCCTGGACATGATCCTTGCACCCGGTTTGATTGGATAATAGCTTTTTAGCCTGGATTGTCAAAACAATGTTGTATTACAGTAAACCAAAATAATACTTTCCACATGTGGTGTGACCTGAGGCTGTGAGCTCCTAAGGCACTCGAGGGCAGGGTGTGCGTCCTGCACTCTATGACACAGGCTCAGCTCCCACGTGTGCTCTACACATGTCGGCCAGCTCACTCTGTGCAGCCCATGAGAGGCTCACAGGAACCGTCTGGTCAAGAGCATTGCATCACCATGGACAGCACACCACCCTTCTCCACTCCGGACTCGGCCTCCGGCAGCTATGCCAGTGACCTGGCCCTGCCCTCCCACCCGTGACTCAACTGTAGCTCCCTCTGACATCAGCTCTTCATCTTCAAGCCCAGCTTGGACAGACCACCTGGGACCTGCAGGAGACCCCAAGCCTGCAGAGAATCCGCTCTCCATCAGCGCTCTGCCTGCGGATATCAATCTCGGCTAGACTCATGGTAACTCATCTCTGCTGAGCTTCAAGCCTTGGCATCTTTCCCTCTGATGGGTCTGGAAAGAGCTGGAGAGGCAGGGAGTCCAGTGCATTCCCATCATTCATTTCTACGCATATGCTATCAAATAAGGCCAGGGGTTGGGAGAAACTTCATAAGGACATCCTCGACACTAATCATGACCACCTCTTTGCATCCCATCTTTTGTAATGTCCCCCTAACTGGATGAAAGGAAGGCTGCAGAGGGGTTACTCACAGGGTAGCAGCTCCCGGTCTGCTGTTTCTGTGCAGATTGGGTATGGATAAAAGAGGTGTCCCTTCTCCAAGGGGTACGGGATCATCCGGAAAGCTACAAAGGAAAGACAGCACAGTGAAGGCTTGCATTTATCTCCTAGCTTCCCAACCTCAGATCAGAACTTCTGAGCATTTTCCTTTCTGTGAGGGAGGCACATGCCAGACGAAACGCCCGCGGAGCCCTGCGATGCGTCGCTCTCACATCCGTCTCAAGCTACATATTCTGGGCAAACTCACAGAGCTGGGTGCGGACAGAGGTGCAGAAGGGCAGGGGAACCATCAGTATCAGTACCTAGGGTTTCATCATGCATAAAATATTATAAAAATGTCCTAAGCACTAACTCAGGAGAGCCCAGTCAACGGCAATGCGCACCGGGGTGGAAGTGCTTTCCCCGGAAGTGAATATGAACTGACTTGTTGGCGCTTGCTGCAGATTGTACAAGAATGAAAGGCATTCTGCTGTGTCTGGTTTTAAAATATGCCTAAGTGGATTACAATTCCAACCAGGATGATGAATACAAAAACTTAAGAACACATGACTTGAGAAGAATTTCTAAACTTTATGAAACTTTTAAATCTTTCAATATTATGCAGGGGGAAATGGTTCAGAGAGATTGATTGTCTACATTTTGATGATGTCAGGCCACCTAAATTCTGTGTCTGTGGCATCGGACGACATAGGCTTTACACTGAATTATGACTTTCCAATCAATCCATCCCTCCCCATTACCGAGCGTGTTATTCTCCCTGTTGCGATGTCATCAGCATGTTAGTCTCACTGCTCCTATGAGCAGCGCTCACGGAGTTCATTTTTCTTCAACAGATGTCCTTTAACGGCTGCATGCTGTACATACGGGATGGAAAAGCCATGCACTGCCCTGAGACCGTCACTTAACAGTCCTAGCCTGCACATGTGGCCATGAGGATGGCTGCAGTGAGCAACAACATTTGTGGTTTTAAATGCTACATTTCAGGGAATCATGCTACATCCTTAGCCTTATTACCAGAGTCTTCACAAAATGCTGTCAATGTACATATTTGTCTTCTGCATACTTCCTTCAAATAAAAATCCGAAACAAAGCCTGTTCTTCCTCACAAGAAATGACAAGGTCCCATTGTAGCCAGCATCAGTGCACATATGGTATTTATTCTGGTGTCTGAACAGTATTTAAAAGTAAAAACAGTATGTATGTGATTCCAGCATTTGGAATGTGGTCAATCTACACCACAGTGGTATCTCTGGGAGGTTATAGCACATTGCCACGGAGAATATAAATCACGATAAATGTGGGGTTAGAGCAGAGCCAGTTTGCTGGCAGTTTGCTGAGGTAAAAATGTTATCAATTTTCTTCTTGTAACAGAAACCTCTTAAACAGATTAAAACATTAAAAAGCACCCCAGACTTTAGCTCTTTTATAACGGAAGACTCTCCCCAGTCCAATCAGACCCTTTCACACAAACAAGGAAGACTTTTGCCAGTGAGCACAGTGACAGAGAATCACGGAGATGCTGAGGATGAAGCAAGCATCTCTCCCACCAGAACTAAGCTTGCGAAAGAATGAAAACAAACAACACAGCAGACAAAAACCCCACGGTAACGCAGAGCATCCACTCACAAAGATCTCTTCTGGGGAGCACTTATTTTAACACTTAAGCTGCAATATGGCAGGATTTCAATACACCTTCTCATACATGACAGTTTCTCTGAAAGTATCCCCATGCCCATTCTGTGGGTGTGTCTCACATTCTCCACATGTGCCCAGGCTACTGTTTTTAAATGTATTCAAATTCATATGATAAAAGAAAAAGAAGAAAAAAAAAAACAGTTTCCACAAAGGGCGATTAATTTTGAAAAGTATACTTTATTCAAAATTGAAGTTGGTTTGAACTTCAAGAAATTATTTTTAAAAGAGAAATTAGGAGTAGAAGCTCATGACAGTGCTTGACAATAGAAATCTAATGGCAGATTGGCATCTTCAAATGAGAATCTTTCCTCCCATATTAGGCAAGCACAGAGAACTTTATGCATCAATTCAGTTTTTTTAAAAAAAATTTAAAAATCAGCTCTCATATTTTTCAGAAAGGGTGGAGATTTTGCTAATACACAATTTTTGAAAGTATATAGTATATGTTTCTTGCATGTTTATGGTACCCTTAAGATCTCTTTTCCTCATGTCAGATATCATTGACATTAAGTTCATAAAATAATATTAAGTTTTGGCTTCACTAAACAAAAGCAAATACAATTTCTGCCTGCAATTCTATCCTTTCCCCACCCTGCTGCACAGGGTCCAACAGAGACGGCGATAAGAACAGGAGTATGCAGAGTGGGAAGAGGCATGGCACACATCGCCAGCTTCCCCTCCTACCACCCCTTCACCGAGACAGGCCCTGGCTCTACTAGCCTTGAAGCCGTCACCAAATGTCCAGAGATTCTGTTAGTGTAAGGTCTAAGAACACACTTGTTTAGTGGCTTAAATGAGAACAGAGGTAGATCATTTGGAGATGACTATTTTACAAATGACTATGAACATCCTAAAGGTTTTTGGGAAACCTTTTATAAATATTTTAGATAAATTAAAATTGTACGCATATTTAGCTCCAAACTAAGCAAGAAACCTAAGCGACTAGCAGTTGAAACACACGGTATATAAACGACATTCCCACTCCGTGTGCACCCTCCCATCTTGATGGTGCTGATGCCTTTGTTCAGAGTGTAGCTGGAGCCCCGAGACACATACAGTCGACTCTGACTCATGGACCTGCTCCTTCCCTCTCTAGAGCGTCACTTCTGGGACTCCAAGCTGCTCAGTGCTGTGCAGGTCAGGGGATCTCGAGTCTCAACAGAACCACAGATGACAGAAAGGTGGAACTTGAGAAAAGAATGAATTGTCACCCTACCCATTATACAGATAGATAGAAGATACTTTTTCCTATTTATCTGACATGTGTTTGATTTGTTTTCCTTTCAGACAGAACATTATTATTTGTAATACAGGGAACTGAGAGTGGATCCCAGTTCTCTCTACTAATTTCTCACCAGAAAGTGTGTGCTTTTCACAGTGGTACTGTAAGCTAGGGAAGCTAAGAACTCCCTGTCCGCACACTGGTAGAGCCAGGCCCACGTGCCAGGCCGCCCCATACAGGCCAGGGTTCTCCTCCCCCTGCTACACTGGACCTAAGGCTTGGCCTCCTCCATCAGGGAACACGACGAGCGCAGGGCTGCCGTGCGCCAACAGATAGACCTGCAGCTGCTGCAGCGGAAAGTCAGCATCAAAATGCAAGTCTTATGCCCCACGTCTGAGTGCAGGCAAGCAAGAGCCGCGGGGCCACCTGTCTTTCATTAGTGATTTCAATGCAGACATAAGGAAAAGACGGAGATCAAAGCATGGCTTTTGATCTATATTCTTTCAACTACAAGAGTGAAGCAAACTGACCTTGAAAAACTCATTTTTCCTTTGGTGGGATTTAAGCACGGTCTGTCCTAATTTTGAAGAGGGAATTCTAGGGTTTTACAGTGAACTTCCTAACTCACTAATGCCTCTCAGCACTTTAATCCTCTTCTCCTAGAGCCATGACAGCCTGCTTGCCCTAGCCACCTATATACACAAATATATGTGTAGTTCCTTCTGAACATGTACGCATAAAACATGTATGTGGAAAATATGTGTAACACACACAAATGCTCCTTACAAAACATTTTCACCTTGGCACCAGCCTGTTGCAAAGGAAGAATTCAATTATTGTTTGCTCAATGCACTCAGGGAAACCCAGAATTTCTCTACTAGAGAAAACTGAGCCGGACTACAGGAGCCTGCTGCCACACTGTTCCAGAGACAGAAGCAGGATGATCAATGTCGCTCTCGAGTCTGGGTGGCCTTGGAAACACAGGACGAGCCTGAGTCTTAGACAAACCTTTAGGGCCTCCATGTCATGAGCTGTTACTCCAAGTATGGTTTGTCACCAAAACAGAGCAAACTCAGAGTCAGGCTGGCTCTCCATCGTGCCATATCTGGAGGTTGGCCGTCAGTGTGTCAGTTGTGGCTACTGTTGATCTGATCACCACTTTCTCACAAATCAGAAACTGTAGCCTCAGATCTGTTAGGGGTCGGGGTAAGGATCAGGGAGAAGTCCAAAAGGTACCAGCCTTGTGGAGCAAAGGTATGGCTAGAGGAAACGCCCTGAGAACCACATCTTACAGTGAGGGGCATTTGCCTTGTGGAGCAAAGGTATGGCTAGAGGAAACGCCCTGAGAACCACATCTTACAGTGAGGGGCATTTGCCTTGTGGAGCAAAGGTATGGCTAGAGGAAATGCCCTGAGAACCACATCTTACAGTGAGGGGCATTGGCCATTAGGTTCAAAGAGAATAAATTAGAATCATAATCTCATCCTATGCTTCAACAATGGGCCATTTTCTCCTCTCAAAGGAAACACTCTGCTTAGTCTCCCTCAAAAACACCGCCTCCAAATCTTATACATTATTTAGTGGATTCTTGTGGGAGGGGCTCCCAAAAGAAAATAAAGAGTTCTATTTGGTTAGGTAGAAAAAGACAGACACAAAGAAAGGCCAAGTGATTTACCATGGCATAGTCTCCTTCTGATATGTGGAACAGGAAAATTAAAGCTCACAGCTGTGGTCAACAACAACCATGCTTTCTAAAACACACTCTACCAAAGGAGAGTCTGGGAAAGATGGGTGGGGGAGAGCTGAGGACACACCAGGACTGGATACAGGTGAAACGGACTGACAGGGCAGGCTCAGCTGAAGAGAGACCGTCCTTTCGTTCATGCGCGGTCTCTATCCTCAGCTCAGACTTGCAGTAGTGCACGTGCGTGAGCGTAACCAGAGCCAGCCGGGTTAAAACAAACATCATTTCGATAAGATGGCAGCTGTGCAATAATGCAGGAAACATAAAATCTTAAAAGTTGAAACCCTTCCCCTTTCTTAATTTTCTTGACTGAGGGGCATACTGTGTAATTTCGGGGCCTGGGACAGTGATGAATCAAACATTTGGAAACCTTTGAAATGCTGATGTATTGTGGTTGAGGACTCAATGGTGCTTTCCCCCTTTTACTACCATATGCTTCAAACACAATCTCTGTTATATATCAGACTTTGGAGTTCAAAAAAGGAGGAGGGCCTCAATTTAATTGATGTGAAACCCACTGAATTCTCAAGAATGACTACTTCTCTAACATGATAAATTCACTGAAAGGAGAAAACCATCTTCTATTTCTAGCTCCGAATGACCACTTCAGACACAGCCAAGGTTGTTTTGTTTTGTTTTTAAAGATTTCGAGAACATAACTTCAGTAACAATCATTTATAACATGGAACCAGATTCTGTTATCTTCTCTCCTGTGTGCTCTTTCTAATAACATTGATAAGTTGGGAGGACTGAGGGAATGGCCTTACATTTCAGAATAAAGAAAATGAATGACTCAGAAGAAACCTGAACTCTAGGGCTGGAGATGTCAAAAGGCGCCACCAAGTGGCAGACTGTGGAACTGCAGGCTCTTCTGTTGAGGCTGCTGGGAGGAGTGGTGATCTGCTGTCATCTTAGAGGAGCTGCAGCAGGTTTGGAGGTCAACAACAAGGGACATTCAGGGTATGACATTCTACTTCATATGGCCTTACAGTTTCCAAAGTGAGGAAAGTAGATACCACTATCAGCAAGTGAGCCAAAATTCTGATCCAAGTCTTCTGATTTAAAACACTATAAGGCTGGAAACTCCTTGGTTTTGAGGACAAACTGCTCTTCAAGAGGACCTGAGCCAGTTCTTAGCACCCACATCAGGTACCCTGTCTGCTCAGAACCCCTATAACTCTGGATTTGTGGGATTCAACTGCTCTGGCCACTTTGTGGCCCCGCACTCATGTAAACGTGCATGCACACACACACACAACTTTAAAATAATAAAACTAAATCTTTAAAACACCTCTAAAGGTTAAATTAGATGTTAACCTCTAATTTAATTTAAAAGTTACACATATAGAAAAAAATGCCAAAGATTGCAGAGAAATACCTGAAACTGGGGCAGTAATTCTTTCTTGTAAATTGTATAAGAGACCTATATCTTTTTAAAAAAATAAATAAATAAAAAAGAATGGCTGAAAAAAACTTACTGTGAAAGATTTTTTTCCTAAATATGTATATATACAAAAGTATATACATATAAATACATATACATCTTTTGCTTATTGAAAACACATATGTGAGGTGCACAAAATTTGAAGAGTACCAATATCAAGAACAAAATGAAAGCACACCCACAACTCAGCAGTAGTAACTAAAGTTAGGTAAATTTACTTCTGTTTCTTTCTTTTGTTTATTTATATGTATTTATTATCTTATTCCTATTGAACTGTTTAAACCAATATTAAATAGATAGCAAAATGTAATTTTATCCAGGATGGATAACTTTCTAAACTAGAAACGAATCAACTATGAGGTAGTATACCCTAGTTTATATGTCACGATGTAATCTATATGGTAACGTTCAAGCAAATGTCTCATACATCACCAGTCTCTTATCTCCTGCTCACTGAGAGGAAAACACTGGCTATCTGAACGGTGCCTACAGAGTGATCAGCCACTCTCCGCACTGTTTCTCCTGCTGGAGAACGGATGTGCCCATCTCTGCTCTTCCTCAGCTAGAGCAGCACTAGGACAGCAAGTGAAAAGATGCAAATGCAAGACAACTGGACACCGTCCGGTGTGACGGCTCCTCAAGGTCCCCGTGTATCGGTGCACAGGGCACACTCACCGAGCGCGCTCGAACGCTCATTGCCATGGCCCTCTCTGGAGACTGAATGACACTGTGGCTGATTTGGGCTGGTGTCATTATCCAATTGTCACAAGCAATGTTTATCTGTAAGTATCAAATTCCCAGTAGATGTTTTCTATAGGTGTCCAGTTTCCTTACCTTACTATTTTGTATATAAAGTTCACCCCTTAAGCCCAATAAAGTAGTCCGTCCATCTGGTTTGAGGTAATCCCCAATACTTCTGCTCTGCCTAATTTGGCAGTTCACCATGTCACTCCATGTCTCTCGACCCTTCCCTGTTGATTCTGAGAAACTCAGTGTTGCTAGGTGATTACTAACTTCCCAACAATGCCCAGTTATTTTCCAAAGGGTTTTAATTTTTTTATGGTGATGTCACTCCTCATATAATAAATCCTCATATTTATTACCCTCTGCTTTGTAGCACTTTGGGTCCTTCCCAGTGGGTTGGATCTTATCAATCAGGTCCAGCTGATAAGTTTCCACTATTATTCTCAGGATGCCAAGCTATAGATACGCTTTTAGTTGCTAAGCCAGTTGATCTATTTAGTTTTTGACATGAGATGTAATGTCTCGTATTTGTTTCTGCTGGTCTCTTTGAATCTTTCTCACATCTAATTAACACAAGCAATGTTCAGCACAAGTGGGAAGACACTGCACTGGCCCAGTCTCTTGGGCGAATCTGCTCACCCAGACACCTGGTTATATCATTACACTTCTCAAACAGAGTGAGAGGCATTGGCAAGTCAACATCTTTCAAGTTATAAACAGAAAGTTATATAAAGAAAACTTGCTAATTATCTGAAAAAAATTTCAAACAACTAAACAAAACGTTTCTAGCCACCTTTGAAACTCATCTTCGTCAGCTTACTTTCACCCCTCTGCCCCCCCCCCTCTGCCCCCACCCCTCTGCCCCCACCCCTCTGCCCCCACCCCTCTGCCCCTACCCCTCTGCCCCCACCCCTCTGCCCCCACCCCTCTGTCCCCACCCCTCTGCCCCCACCCTCTTTGCTACCACCCTGTCATTTCCTGAACCAAGCTGGATTCTTACTGGGTCACAGAAAGGGCAGGAACAGGAAGGAACAGAAGTTTATCAAAGTGAAAATGGAAGCAGAAAAGATAAAGAACAAAAAGGATTAAAAAGACTTGTTTGTGACTGGATCAAAGTGAGAATAAATTGGGGAAAAACTACCAGAGACTCAAATATTCTTTGTTTTGATTTTCCACAAGAAATTCTATGTGTTGTGTTTGCTTTGCTTAAATTGGTATTAACAGTGTTTCAGTACATGTTATCTAACAACACACAGAGAATTGGCTGTTTTCCTTAATTTACCATCTCCTAAGAACCCTATAACCTGCCATTTCTTCACACTGTATTCTTGTTTCTACCGCTGCCCAGGTTTCTAGGGCTTGTTCACCTGTCACCCGACTCCTGCAATTACTCTACCTTCTGAAGGAGTCACCAGACAGGGGACAAGCGGCCATTCACTCCTCCTCACTAGATAAGATGGAGCACAAAGTTAAGTACCTGTCACCTGCCATTAGACCCTGCTTCTCTTACACAGAATGATGGCAGTGTGGAGAGCATCCCGGGCTAACTTACGCCGCCATCTATCTAACAGGCACTTACTACTCACAGGGGCTGCCACACCCCACATAGGACACCAGGATGGAATGGGCACTGTTGCTGTTTTTGAAGCATATCTGGAGTGCTTTTGTGGATGATCATTCTTACTTCAGTGCAGGATCACTGTAGCTCTCACCCCTCTACAACTGTCTGAACTGACAAGCAGCACCTAGCACAAGGCCTAAGCCTAAGGCAAAGGCTGCTGTGATGTCAGGGGGCTGTGCAGCTCTCCAGACAGGGTTTCCGGGGTGGCCCAGTACTCCTCTAGGGTACCCAGAGTCACTGACCTCTTGTAGGAGGTACATCTCTAACCTAGATGTGGTACCACCACAGCAACCCCCCCCCCCCCCGTCTCTGGGGATATGTGAGCACCACATAGTCAACTGCCCTGATAATATGACATACTGGGAACAAAAACCAGACGCACGGATTCTCATTGTTCATCATCAACTGTTGTGGCATAAATAGTTCGAGCACTTTATGTTCTCAAAGAATGTTTAAAGGAGAAAAATGACTTACTGCCTTCCCACGTACAGTGCAAGAGGTTCAAAGCCCCCTCCACCCTCTTCCAGTGTGCGAGATGAAAGAATGCGTACGCGATTGCTTCACTGTCTCCTCTCTTCAGGATGTGCTCTGGTGGGAGGATTAAGCTTTTCATTTCTAGTAGATACTGGAATGAAAACAGCAGGAGGCAGACGTGTTAATATGCAGTGGTTAGGAACTCAATGCTGACACAGGCTGATTTCCCGAAGACTATCACTCTCAGACATTTCATCAGGCCGGATACATGGGATGGCAGTCGCTAAGACACCCAGCACTATCCAGAGTTTGCTGACAGTTGATTAGCTTTGCACTGGTTTCCTTCCATGAAGATCAGAGACTCACAGGCTGAAATAGTCTACTCGAAGAATAAACACATGCTCAAATGCAAAAGGGAAAACGTAGCAGACATAAGAACTTGGCAGGATATTGTGAGTGCAGCGAAAACACATATGACAGACACATGAAATCGAACAGCTACACGGCTGAACAGCCTGCACTGAAGAGATTTGACATTGAGTTTCACTGCCCATGTATTTTTTATATGCAGATACATCAGAAAGGACTTTGTTTTATGAAAAGAACTATTGATAGATGCTCATATGTGGGAACAGTGAGGGTGTCAGCCTGTGTGTAGGAAGATCCAAGCTGAAAGGATCTTTTAGATATTTCCCACAGACTGGAGGGACAGGAATTAGATCTCTTCATTCATATTCAACACAAAGGAGCTGGGGTACAGGGCAAGAACAGGTGCTGCTTTTCTGGCACTGAGAGGTCTAAATTATACCTTCATCCCTCTCTACTTCCTATAGGAGAGAGGTGAGCAAACTCAGAAGGTTCCTGCACCCCATTCTTCACAGTCTTCCTTCTCGGATCCATCCCCAAATACATCATGTACACACCCCACCACCGCTCCACACTACCACTACTATCATTGTAAACATATCATGTGCACACATCCGCTCCACACTACCACTACTATCATG